GAAAGTCCTATTGTCACTGATTTTGGTCTCCAACAAACCTGCAAGGGTTGTAGTTCTATATCTGCTAAATGCTATGTTCACGAGCTGACAGCAGTTTTGCTGTTTTATGCTAGGCAGCTGCCTACTGAGGCTGATTGCAACCCCTGTGGCTAGATTTGCCAAAAGAAGAAGAAGAAGAAGAAGCTGCCTACTGAGGCTGAAAAATATACTGACAGTGGTGACGATAAACCAAAACTGTAAAAAAAAAAAAAAAAAAAAAATGGGGGCTAGAAAACCAAAATATAAGCTATAAGATTCTAAAATGCTTTGTAGAGCCGAGGAGAGTTGTGGAGTCAGCTGATAATTCTCAGTGGGGTTATCACTATGAACAGCCTTTTCACATATAAATAGTCATGTGATACATTCTCAGTATGAAAATATTGATTATAGCCTCCTTAGGCATTAAATTCCTTACTAATGACAATATTCTAACCCTTTCTTATGATGGAATTAGAGGAAGATAACACTATGGCAGTGCTTTAAGTAAATTACATATGCATTTAATGAACTTCCCATTCACCAACTGTTACTGATGTATTTTGGAGGAAAACTTCATTTAGTTTATCATGGCAACCCCTTGTTTGATAGTACTATAATATTAATATTGCATAATAATCTACAAAGTATCCAGTAGTGTGGAGTGACTTAACAGTGATGGTAACATACTTTACCATAATATTCTTTGTTTCTCTGCCCCAGCTATTTTCCATCTACATTCCTTCACTGGTGCTAATCTCAAGTCTTTTTTCATTTATAAAACATAACATTTGATCCCATGAAAAAAAAAGCAAAATAGAAGCAACACTCACAAGTCATTCCAGTGCTCTGGTCCACCAGCTGTGGCGATGCCCTCAAAATATGTGGTTGCTACTTTGAGTCCATAAAGCAGGTAATCAGCGAACATACCCGGTATTGTTTGTTGGATGATATTCTCAGCTCTCTTGAGGATAAGGAGGGAGATGTTATGTGATGAGGCAAAACTCACATCTGGTTGGAGGAGGAGTTTTAATGAATACTGCACAATTTCCAGGATGTCCTGCTGTACAGAGAGCGGCATGTGGCCCGTGGCGTTAGTCAGTAACTGCATAGCACTTTTTTCAACTTCCAAGATGGCAGCTAAGAAGTGATCACTCTGTAAACCACCTGGCTGCTCTGCCACCATTAGGACTTTGCTCAAGGACCGGGTGATATTGCCAATCATAGCGAGGTAGGCCAGTTGATCATCACTGAGAAAATTGGCCACTGTCTGCTGCAGCTGCTGGATGTCTGTCATTTGGTTGGAGACATTCATGGAGGAGTTACCCCACTGAAGAATATTGGTTAGGATCAATGTGACATTGGGTTGTTCCATCCATTTTTCTATGAGGTCAAGGTATAGCTCAGTGTGGTGGTTAGAGGTATTCAGAATGATTGTCTTGAACAGTGGCTCTAAAACTGGGTTGTCCTTTGTGATGTTAAATAGATGCTGGAGAATCTCAACAACTGTGTAGCCAATTTTAATCACCCCTTCACCATCTATTGGGTGTGGGATACTGTCTATCAAGAACTGGATCTGATTACTGACATACAAAGAGAAGTCTGTCTGTGCCAACTGGAATGTCAGTTGCATTTGTGTGAGGTAGAAAAATGGACGGAGGAGCTCTGAGACTGAGGTGTTGCTGGTGATATTTTCCAGCCTTTTCAGGTACCATTCCACAATCTCAATAGATACTTTCTGGGCATATATGGGGTTCTCCATTAAGGTGGTGTTCAAACTGTTGGTAAATGGGTCTGTGTTGTCTAAGAGTTGCATCAGATCCTCTAACACTTTGATTTCATTCATGATCTCTGAAGTGTTCATCTGGTTCAGCTGGAGGCTCATCTTGATATTGGCCAGGGTGCTGTTCAAGAGGTGTACAATAAACATGTTGGGATTGGAGCTCACGTTAACTTGGACAACGTCACTGAAAGTTTCATTTAAGATTAATGGGATGAGGGAGAGAAAGTCGGTCTCGTTAGAGAAATCAGGTAAGTGAGTCAGGAAACGACTGATCCCGTTTATGAATCCCATCACACACTGAGTTGTCATCATCAAGTCATTCTGTGGTTCAAAACACTTGCGAGCATTGATAATCTCCTTTATGTTAACCATTAAGTCATAGATGCTAGCACCTTTAGCCAGTGCAGCAATCTTACTGAGCTCATCAAGGGTTAGGTTTGACCATTCCAGAGCAGTCTGGATATCAGACAGAGAAATATTTCCTGCAGCCATGATCCATCTGATGAAATCAATTGAGCTATTGCTGGTGATATTTTCCAGCCTTTTCAAGTACCATTCCACAATCTCCTGATTCACGTTCTGGGCCCATTTGGGGTCCGTCATCAAGGTGGTGTTAAAATTGCTGGTAAACGGGTCCATGCTGGCAGCAAGTTTTATCAGTCTCTCCAACACCTCAATTTCTTCCATGATCTCATGAGTGTTTGACTGGTTCAGATGGAGGCGCATCTTGATATTGATCAGGGTGCTGTTCAAGGCATGTATGAGTAGCATGCTTGGATTGGAGCTCAAGTTGAATTGGGTGGGACTGAAAGTTTCATTGAATATTATTGGGATGAAGTCTGTCTCATTATAGAAATCAGGTAGGTGAGTTAGGAAACGGCTGATCCTCGTTATGAATCCCATTACACACCGAGTTGTCATCATCAAGTCATTCTGTGGTTCAAAACACTGGCGAGCATTGATAATCTCCTTTATGTTAACCATTAAGTCATAGGTGCTAGCACCTTTAGCCAGTGAAGCCATCTTACTGAGCTCATCAAGGGTTAGGTTTGACCATTCCAGAGCAGTCTGGATATCAGACAGAGAAATATTTCCTGCAGCCATGATCCATCTGATGAAATCAATTGAGCTATTGCTGGTGATATTTTCCAGCCTTTTCAAGTACCATTCCACAATCTCCTGATACACGTTCTGGGCCCATTTGGGGTCCGTCATCAAGGTGGTGTTAAAATTGCTGGTAAACGGGTCCATGCTGGCAGCAAGTTTTATCAGTCTCTCCAACACCTCAATTTCTTCCATGATCTCATGAGTGTTTGACTGGTTCAGATGGAGGCGCATCTTGATATTGATCAGGGTGCTGTTCAAGGCATGTATGAGTACCATGCTTGGATTGGAGCTCAAGTCGAATTGGGTGGGACTGAAAGTTTCATTGAAGATTATTGGGATGAAGTCTGTCTCATTATAGAAATCAGGTAGGTGAGTTAGGAAACGGCTGATCCTCGTTATGAATCCCATTACACACCGAGTTGTCATCACTGAGTCATTCTGTGGTTCAAAGCACTGGCGAGCATTGATAACCTCCATTATATTATCCATCAGGTCATTGATATTGTCAGTACCAGCTAGTGCAGCAATGTTATTCAGCTCGTCAAGGGTCAAGTTTAACTTTCCCAGAGTAGTCTGGATATCAGACAGAGAAATATTTTGTGTAGCTATGATCTGTCGGATGAAATAAAAAATCTTGATATCAGGCAGAGAAATATTTCCTGCAGCCATGATCCATCTGATGAAATCAATTGAGCTATTGCTGGTGATATTTTCCAGCCTTTTCAAGTACCATTCCACAATCTCCTGATTCACGTTCTGGGCCCATTTGGGGTCCGTCGTCAAGGTGGTGTTAAAATTGCTGGTAAACGGGTCCATGCTGGCAGCAAGTTTTATCAGTCTCTCCAACACCTCAATTTCTTCCATGATCTCATGAGTGTTTGACTGGTTCAGATGGAGGCGCATCTTGATATTGATCAGGGTGCTGTTCAAGGCATGTATGAGTAGCATGCTTGGATTGGAGCTCAAGTTGAATTGGGTGGGACTGAAAGTTTCATTGAATATTATTGAGATGAAGTCTGTCTCATTATAGAAATCAGGTAGGTGAGTTAGGAAACGGCTGATCCTCGTTATGAATCCCATTACACACCGAGTTGTCATCACTGAGTCATTCTGTGGTTCAAAGCACTGGCGAGCATTGATAACCTCCATTATATTATCCATCAGGTCATTGATATTGTCAGTACCAGCTAGTGCAGCAATGTTATTCAGCTCGTCAAGGGTCAAGTTTAACTTTCCCAGAGTAGTCTGGATATCAGACAAAGAAATATTTTGTGTAGCTGTGATCAGTCGGATGAAATAAAAAATCTTTTTGAATGTTTCCACTTCGGCAGCATCATCTGGGGACAGGAGAAGCGAAAAGAAAGTGGATGTAATTTCTTCATTTTCCCATCCCCCCAGAACAGTGTTGATTCCAGTTATGTTGATGCTGGCATTACCGTCGGCTGAGCGCATCATGTCTAATATCTGATCCAAGAATGTGAAAATATTTGAGATGTCATCCGAACAGTTTTGGCCTTCTGCACATTTGGAAATTTGATATTGCAAGGCTTGGAAGTGTTGGAGAAAGCGAGCAGCCTTCTGTTGGATGCCAGCTGGTAGGAATGCTACAAATGTCTGGATAAGAATGTTCTGGGCAGCATCTGGTCCAGCCCGAGTCAGATTCTGAAGGTTCTCTGGGGTGAGGAAGTTGAAGAAGTCTTTGGAAAGCATTTGGGGGCCAATGACTTGTGCTACACTCATCTGCCCACTTGGTAACAAGTGTTGTTTGATTTTCTGGAATTTACACAGAGACATCACCAATTCTTGAAGCTGACGTATATACAAAAGAGTGACGTTAACTGGGTCACCATTTTGAGAATCTATCACCGTCTTCAGTAGCTCCATGGCACGGAGGATACCTACAAGGCCTGCTGAGGTCTGGTTTTTGAAAGGCTGGATGCTTTCTCTGAGATGGGCCACATCCTCAAGGTTGAAGTAGTTATAATAGCTAAGCAGACTGTACCCTATGATGTGAGAGATAGACAGGGTGAGGTTACCATCCAAAGAGAAGAACTGCATTAACAGCTGCTCAAGTTCAGGCACTGATGGGTCTGTATCATTGAAGATGAAAATGTGCTGGTTGCTCCTGCCAAGGTTTGAAGCAATATCAATCACAGTGGAAGCGTTAATGGGGTCATCACTAAAAAACAGAGGCAGCAGTGGTGTCAGGCCTGTAGGCTGTAACAGGTAACCAAGGAGGGGAAGCATGACATGAGGGTTAGAGGTGTTCCTGTCAGGATGGATGGAGGCCATCTGGAAAAAGCCATCCAGGTTACGAGTCAGGTTATTCAGGTAGGCAGAGAGCACATCTTCTCCTTTGATTTCTTGTGTCAGATTTGATGCTACCACATATTTATAGATGTCACCATAGACATACTCCAACAAATTCAAAGTTCCATTGAGACAACTACAAAAAAAGAGTAGAGTGAAAGAGATTGTCAGACTGTTAAAAACTGACTACTTACAAACATATACTGTACATACTGTATATACGCTGTCTGAGGAATCTGAGGCTGCAGAGATTCAGTTCATAAAAAATACTAAAGAAGGTATAGAGCTGGTCCGGGGGGGGGCATGGCATGCTTTTCTGTTTTCTGACTTATCTACAATGTTACAAAGATGAATTATTATTTTAAACATGACTGAAAGCTCAAAAAATGAGGTGTACCCATGTTGCTGAACTTATATACAGATGCATCTCGGTTTATACAAGTCTCATGAACTCTCGCGAGACAGTTTTTCCCAACTATGTAAAGTTTTATGCAGCAGTTCATGAATTTCCTTGAATGGTAATAATCTCCAGGCAATTGCGCATTCATGTGAGCTTGCCTGACATCCACAGGTGCCATTCTAAAAGCAGAGATTTTCGACTGCACAGGGTTTTATGGATCTATTTTACCTCCTGCTGTTGCACTGTGACCAGAGGATGTGGAAACAATAAAGGGCCTGAGGTTACTCCATGTCTGGGAATGTTAATGTACAGGGACTCGCTGTTTTACCTGACTGAGTCTAACCTACAAGCAGCCAGCCTGTGAAGCACCCTGGGGTGGGTAATGATCTGCTCATCAACGCTGGATTCCCTCAGAGCACACTACCCGTTTGTTTTGACTGCTTGAGGCCAGTGTGTCTGCAGCATTTGATGTGTCGCAGGTTGGAGAGAGGATTCTAATGATCCATGATGTTTGTCAGTGCTATGCTGCCTGTTGGAATTAATTTTACTACTTTGGGAATGTGATTGCCTGTAATGCAAGGGATTTGTGGGAAGACGCAGTGATCACGAGTTGGATTTACCAACCTTTAGGTTTCCACTACTCGGTTGGAGTTAATGGTAAGTTTAAAAAAATATGTTGCATGTCTGTTAATGTGCAGTTTCTGTAACGTTAGAGAGAACTGTTGTAAGGCTGGAGAAGTTACTATGTCTGCATTATGCCACTTAAAATATGGGGTATATCTCAATTACCCGCTTTGTTTAAAGTGTTGCAAATCTCTTTTCATTGGTACATATACCGTTGTTTACCTATCTATGGAGGAGAAATTCAAATGAATTAATGCTGTTGCGGTTTGTTGTGCTTTACACTTTCATATTCTGGCTCAAATATGTCAGTTAGGATTTGAGGTACTGTCACTGTTGAAAATGTATCTTATTTGACAAAGGTTTTTTGTTTTTATGCATTGATGTAGCTTCCTGACTAGCAACAGGAGTTGTGCACGTCCACAAACTATTGTCTTGTTTTCAGGAGGAGGCTCTCCTTGTGATATCATGTTTTATCATTCTGAAATTACAGACTATTTGGAGTTATAATGGGTGCAAAGATAATCTAGAGGTACTCAAGATTAAAAATTAAATGGATGAAAATGAGCATGCCATGAGCTCTTTAAATTAGTGAAGTTAAATGCTGTTGTGCTTAATACACTGTGTGTGTGTGTTCTTGTACTTGCTACATAGTGAGGACAAAAAAAATATTTTTGCTACATAGTGAGGACATGGTTCTCACTCTTCTTCACTCCCCTTTTTGAGGATTAAAACTTGGGTTCAGATTAGAATTAGATTTAGGTTAGGTGTTAGGTGAAGGGTTATGGTTAGGCATTTAGTTCTGATGGTTAAGGTTAGGCAAGTATCACCTACCTCATTCAATGACTTGGTGGTAAGGGGATGCATTATATCAATGAGCATCCTCACAACAACAGAAGTACAAGTGTAAGTGTGAGACAATCTTAGAGGCTCTTGAACACATGTACTGCCTCAAGAAGAATATCGTTTTCATTAAAGTGATAAAAAGTACCATTCCTCCCAATCAGCTGTCAACTGATCACCACCTGGTGGTGAGTTGGATCCAATGGCGGGAGAGGAAGCTGGACAGACTCGGAAGACCCAAACATATTGTGAGGGTCTGTTGGGAACGTTTGGCAAAACCCCCTGTCCGGGAGATCTTCAACTCCCACCTCCGGTAGAGCTTCAACCAGATCCCGAGGGAGACTGGAGACATTGAGTCTGAATGGACCATGTTCTCCACCTCCATTGCCGATGCAGCCACTCGGAGTTGTGGCTATAAGGTCTCTGGTGCCTGATGTGGCGGCAATCCCCGAACCCGGTGGTGGACACCGGAAGTAAGGGATGCCGTCAAGCTGAAGGAGTCCTTTCG